TAGGCTCAGGTCATGATCTCACAGTTCAGGTTCATGAGATTAAGCCCTGCGTTGGGCTCTGTGTTGACAGCAAGGACCCTCCTTGGGATTCTTTCTCTCTCTCTCTCTCTCTCTCTCCCTCCCGAATTCGTACTTTCTCCCTCATTCTCTCTCTCAAGTAAATATTAAAAAATAAAAAGAGAAAGAGAGAGAGAATGAAAGAAAAAGGGCAAATGCAGAGCAGGGACAGAGAGAAATGAAAGAACAGGCAGTGTCCATGAGAAAGCAGAGGGAGTAAGTGGTAACAATACAAAGCAGCTTGTATTTACTGAGCCACCGCAATGTGCCAGTCCCTGTACTAAGCACATTACATGTCTGAACTCACACACATATTAACTCATTCAGCTGAACACATACCCAGGAGCAAGTCTGATGAGGACAATGCATCGGGCAGCTGGCAGTAACAGACAGTGCAAGTTAAATAGCTGTAAGTGCAGAACCAGGGTTTGAGCCCAGGTAGTTCGCCTCCACAAACCACACTAATATGCTCAGCTATTGTCTCCCTTGACATGCGATTGAGATGAGGGAAAGATAGACAGAAAAGCCACTACCTCCCTTGAGATGCTGAAAAAGGTAAAAAAGATATTTGTGGTGCAGAGATGTTTATGTGTTTGGGCTTGGATGGAATGAGCTCCTCAGGAGAGGTGTAAGACAAGTTTGGGGGATGCTTAAACGTAAGCATTTCTTCCACAGTCAAGACACAGTCTGACAGTGTCTTTCTAGATACACGTTATTCTGACTAGCTTATTGCAATCTATATTATCGTCTTTTCTTAAAAAACAAAACAAAACCTATTTGGACAAAAATTCTAATTGTAAAAAACGAAGTCTTAATTTATATATTCCTTTTATGAGGGAAGTCTCAGAAGTTATACAACATGATTACAAAAATATCTTCAGGAAAAAAGAGAACAGACCAAAAAATACTTATCTGTACACCTATAACTAAAACTTTATTTCTTCACTATAGGAAAGGCTCTTATGATCCATTCATTCACTCACCTATTCAATTTGCTGAGCACCAACTTGTACTAGGCACCAGGCATTGCTGTAGGCCCTAGGGCTGCAGCAGTGAACAAAACAGATTAACACACACACACACACACACACACACGCAACTGTTCTCATAGAACATACAAACTAACTGAAAGAAGGAGACATTAACTACCTTACATAAATACCTTATGTAGCAATGTGAGTATTCCAGGGGAAAAAAAAGGCAGAAAAGAGGACAGAGCACAAAGTGGGAAAGGGGCAACTGCAATTTTAAATTAGATGGTCAGGGAATGACTGAGAAGATGGTATTTGAAGGTAGGGGTGGAGGGGGCACCCAATGGACATTTGAGAAAACAATGTTCCAGGCAGAGAGAAGAGCCAAAGCAAGGGTGAGGTGGAAATGTGTCTTTTGTTTATGAGCCACTGCAAAGAGACCCAATGAGGCTGGAAAAGAATAGAGAGGAGAATAGCAGAAGATGAAGTTAAAGATACAAATAGTGGACTGAAACTCAGGGACCTCTCGGCTCCTATAAGACAGATGGTAAGGTATTAGTGGAATATGAACAGGAGTGTTATAATCGGAATGTTTTAAAAGAATCACTCTGGCTGCTGTAGAGAACAGTCTGGGAGTATCCAGGGCAGAAGTGGGGAAAACAGTGACACATACCAGCTCTCTTCCAACTGCTCCTCCAGGTTTCCTATCCACCCTGCTTTTGGCCCAGGATGTTGACCAGGATGAACTCACGGACTGCCGTGTCCCCTGGCTCCCATGTGGATTCCACCAGTGGGGAGCACACACAGGATCAAAGGGAGGGAAGAGAGTGAGTCAGGGTGGTTTTTTTCCCCTGCTCCTCCCTTCCAGTTACTCTGGACTGGCTACTGCCCTTGGACAAAAGCCACAGCTCCTGTCCTGTGGCTTTCTCCACCTAATCCTCTGAATTCTAGTAACCACTCCCTTCCCAATCTACCTTCAGGCCAAGGGGCCCAATTGTAATGAGACCTTGCACAGTAGTCTTTTAAAATAGTTCGTTTACTAAAAGCTCCTCAAACTATCCCAATTTAAGCATACCATCTCTTTCCTGGCAGTACCCTTGCTAACTCAGGAGTCCAGGGCAACAGTGCAGGTGGGAGACAATGGTGGCTTAGACCAGGATGTGAGCAGCAGAATGACAAGAAGCAGTTAGATTTTGATTTTCTGATAGATGTAATGTCACACATAACTCCAGATTTTGGCATAAGCAACTAAAAGGATAGAATGCCATCAACTGAAATTAATTTCTTAAAATCACAAATCAATAGAAAATATAAGTAAATATAGTAAATAGTGGTGCACAAGAAAAGGAATGCTATGGCTTACAAACAAATGCAAAGATGATTAATCTTACCATTAAAGGAATGTAAATTAACATAATCATATAAAATATACATAAATAGATACATAATATGGATAGGATAATTACAATATAAAGTTGACAAAGATAAATGTATGATGATAAATGGTGTTGTCATGGATGTCAGAAAAGGAGGAATTGTAAAATTCTTCCCATTGTAAAATTGGGGGAATATAAACCTCTGTGAAGAATAATTTGCCACACCTATCAAAACTTCAAATGTACATATTTAAAAATCCTCTGCTAGGACTTTATCCTACACACATACTCACACATTTGCATAAATACATACATATAAGATTTTTCACTACTGCAGTGTTCATAATTACAAAAGATTAGAAACAATCTAAATGTCCAGCAACAGGAAATACAAGTTAAATAAATTAGGTTATATACACTAAAGAATAAATACCATCAGTATTTTGCAAAGAACAAGATAAACTCTTGCTTATATATACATATGGAAAGGAAAACTCTACAAAAGATTTATATTGTTGGGAGGGGTGGGGAGGAGTCAAGTGCTTAACAGAAATATTGAGTATATTCTTATTTGTGAGTCTTTTTTTTAAGGATATACACATATGTGGGAGTAAGAAAATTCTAAAAAGATCAAAGAAATTGTTTAGAACAACTGCCTCTAAGCAGGTTGATGTGAGAGACTCCTTTTTTTCATTGTATACCCTTTTTGGACTGTTTGAAATTTTTTTTTACCAAGTGCATATATTAATTTGTTAATAAACAGAACAGTACATAAGCTAAATTTAAAAAAAGCAATAAATAATCTTGTGTTCCATAAAAACCTATGGTGTTGAGAAATATATCTGAAAAGTACAACTTATCAAAACTAAAGTATGGTTTCATTTTATTATTATCTTATTTTGTTAGAAGATATAAATGCCCTGACCCATATTATTTTGAATCACTGGTGTTTCTCCATTTGTAGTCAAATAGAGCCTATTGACATACTCTTGGGGTTTTCCAAATGTCAGCCATATATGGAAAATACAACAGGGCTTAATGTAGATGATTTCAAATGGAAAAAAACAAATATGTGACCTGATTTCTATTAAGAGTTAATTTAATGACAGACACTCATTTTGGCACTGACCAGAATGCCAAATGGAACAGCCTATACCACAATTCCTGTTTCACTAATATTATAATTCCCAGAACTAATATATTTTAGAACTAGCAGGAAACAACAATATGGAAAAAAAATTAGTTGTCTTTAGGCTTATCTTAAAATATTCTCTCAAAGCCAGCAAATCAAAATTGTTAAAAAATTCTGTAAAACTATTTTACCAAAAGAATGCCACATTATTTCTTTGAAGATTCTCTAAGTTTGCACAAATGTAGACAAATATACCAATACAAATGTGTACAGGATTCTATATATTTTATTTCATTGATGTAAATGTAAAACAACTTTTTTCTTCCCATCTTCCTCATGCTATTTTTCTCCTTTCCACCACAGTCTTGTCTGACACAGAAATTTGTCCCTATAGATAAGATTTTAATGTTATCCAAACCATAATGCATAATTTATCCAAGAAATTTTGGGTAAGAATTTTTTTTTTAAGTCAACCAAATCTACTTGAATACAAAAATTCCTCAACTGGTTTTGGTAGCACCACTCAAGGTTTTAGATTATTTCATGATTAGGGACTTGATGTATAATTGTCAGTAAGTTGCACTTCAATTTTGCTGACAAAGAAAAAGACAAAAAGCCTTGTTCCTTCTTCTCAGAAGAGACAGAAAAACACTTTAATATATTTCCCCAGATTTCTGCAAATTCACACAGTTTGAAACTGAAGACATCCAAAGCAGTGAAAATACAATGTATTTTTAAGACTTTTATACATATATGACAAAATTGTAGGAAAAATGTTAAGTCTTTTGTCTTCATGCAACCTTCCTAGGGATCTGAAGTGCTTATATAAATTGTTTTATTAAGTTGTTACATTTAAGCTAAAGTAAGTTCTTTTAAAAATTAAATGATACTAAATAAATATCTAATGGGGGGAATGAAGGGGTTTCGGGACAGCACCCGCCCCACCCCCCCCAAATGTGCCATTTTGGCATATGGATTATTTTGAGCTGAAGGCACTTGAGATCCTGTGGACTCAAGAGACTTTTGTCGCTCCCTTAACCACACAGATGAAGCTAAATTGAGTATTTTTCTCAGAATACGGGTTATTAACAGAGACAAACTTTATCTGAGTGACCCATCTGTATGGCAGGGCAAACATCTAATCATCAAACATCTGCTTCTCTATTATCACTGCATGAAATGCATTCCTTTCCTCTGAAATCCCAGACCCCTACCCCCTTTCTCCTTAGTTCAGGATGACATACTATACCTCATTCTGCCTGTCTTCAGAATTTCCATGTCTATATGGATTCCCCATACATACATGCACCTATTAATTTTGATTTTCTCCTGTTATCTGTCTCCTGTCAACTTGATTCTTAGCCCAGCTAGAAGGGCCTTTAATGGAGACAGAAATTCTTGCTCCCCAACAGGAGGGAAAGGAAGAGAGGGTAAAGGAAAAGAGGCCACTGTTGCAATATTTACCTGTGGCATCGAATTCGATTGGCTGGCACCCGCGGTGAGAAGACCAGTCACACTTGAGGACTTGCCCTCCTTCCACAATCCCAGGCTGGGTAGTGTTTGCTTTGGGTGCTCCCACCAGAAGAAACATCCTGGTAAAATACAAAAGGGAAGATAAGATTTTAAATGGCACAAAGCATAAACAGTAACCTATGATTTAGAAAGAACAATCATTCTCTTGCTATTATCCACAATTATTTTTAACCATTCACTGAGGGCATAATCTATCTTCTACACTCATTTGATGCTCTTACAAACATACATTATTCAATACAGTTTATCCATGCTAATAACATCTTATAAGGCAACTTCAGAGTGACATGTCATTTAAAAATCTGTGCTGGTCAAACTGTACACTTTAAACATATACAGTTTATTATATATCAACCGTATCTCAAAAAAGCTGTTAAAAATGTGTGCTGGCTAGAATCTGGGACAGATGTTTTGATTTAGGGTTTTTTGGAATGGTTTTTTTGTGTGTGGTCTGCCATAGACTTTCTATATCCTGAATGCTAAGCAAAACTAAATAAATAAATAATTCTAAAATATTGTAATTCTACATACTATCATTTTTTTTCTTTTTGAAAACATATCTTGTTTTGGAACTACTGTACTTCAGTATTTTTTTTTTAATGACTAATAAATATATCTTTTCAGAGGATTAATCTAGTCAATCCTGGCCAAAGAACAGGATCGCTATTCAATTTCTTATCAGGATAAAATGAGCAGGAGACAAAATAATACAGAGTCCAGTTTTTAAGCAAAAGAGACCTTTTCATTAGTTTTTTCTATTCATTCAGAAAAAGAAACAGCTTGAGTGTCTCGTCTACACAGAGCACAGTCCTGGGCACTGGGAACATCACCATGAATAAAACAACCTCGTTTCCTGCTCTCGGTGGTGTTTACATTCCCTTTGGGAAGAAATAGAGAACCTGACCAAGAAAATCAGTCATGCTTACAAATGCTGTGGAGGAAAAACTTCTTTACATAAAGGAAAGTAATCTTGAAAGAATGGAGGGGAAAGACTTACTTTAGATAAGGAGAAGTCAAAGGAAGTCTTCTGTAAAGAAGGAAGAGGAAAGACCTCGTTTAGATAAAGTAGCAAGGAAACTTATTTTTAAATAAACCGAGATGTACAGGATTAGATGGTCACCAAGGAGTGTTTGTGTGTTGGGGTGGGGGGGAGGGGTTGGGGGGGAAGGCAAGGTGAGAAAGGTGGGATAAGGGTGTGACATGAAGAAGTAGATGGGAGCACCCCGGGCAGAGGGACAAAGACCCTCAGCAAGAAAATGATCAGTGTCGGAGAGTTTCAAGAAAAAGGTGTGGCTGAGGCAAAAGAGCAAGCTAAGAGTGACACATGATAAAGGTGGGGAGCTTGGCAAGAACTAAATCAAGCAGGGCCGTTCAACTAATGTAATACTCTTGGATTTTATCATAAGGTCTATGTGAAGCCTTTGCATTTTTTTTTTTAAGCAAAAGAATGACACAATCTAATAGAGAAAACTATATTTGGTGCCTTCTGGGGAAAGGATTAAGGAGGGAGGGGAACAAAATGGAACAAGGAAAGTAAGAGACTTTCAGCAGGGAAGGGAGGAGATAATAGTGACCTAGATTGGGAAGGCGGGTGGAGAAGGAGATGGGTGGGCAGACTTTGGAAATAATCTGGAATAGAATGAACAGGAATAGCTGGTGGCTGTAATATGGGGGAGAGGGAAGATTAAAAAATGTCACCCAGGTTTCATTCTGAAGTGCATGGATGGGACAACAATTTACTGCACAAAAAGAAAAAAGCCTAAAGAGTAAGGAAGCAGAAGGCAGATTAAATATTTACAGGAAAACCAAGAATTCAGTTCTCAATGTTACTCTGAAGTATCTGTTAGACACCAATTGGTAGTCCGGAGCTCTGAGGAGAGTTTTGCCTCAGAGATCATGTATTGAGAATGTCAACTTAGAGTAGATGGGTTCATGCCGGGAAGCTTCAGAAAGAAGAGAGCCAAACAGTGAGCTCTGGGGAGCAAGAGCCTTTAGGAGTCAGGTAAAGAAAGAGGATATAGTAAGAGAGAACGAAAAGAAACTGATTGAAGTATAAAAGAAAACAGGATATAGTTATACATGGAAGGCCCTCAATAAATGCTACCACCATTATTATTTCACTTCCTCATTAAACATTTAGTCACTTAAATTGTAGCATAGAAAATACTTCACTGCCTTTCCTTTTTTTTAAAGTTATGAACAAAGCTACATTTTAATATGAGATGTGCTCATTTTAACTTTTACTTATCAATTTCAATTTCATTTCTTCCGGGTGGTATCTGCTAAATCATACTTAGACTCGTCAAGAGCTGGCTACATGACTGACTGGCTGGTTTAACAGGAATCCTGCTTTCTGATATTCATCTTAAAACTCCATACTCAATAAAAAAAAAAAAAAAAAAAAAAAACACTCCATACTCAAAATAAAGGCAAGACTCCCAACCGAACCACACCCTGTTTAATAAAGCTTTATGCAGTCATATTTGGCATCAGTAAAACATCAATGCTGGCTCCTTCTCATCACAACCAACTTAGTTTTCACTCAGCAGGAAAAAAAAAAAAAGACTATGAGTAGGAGAGGCCGTACCCCCATGAATAAGAGGGCACTCAATGTCATCCAGCCTCCTTTACTGCAGGGGAGCCGGTTAATAGCTAAACTATTTATGTAAATAAATATAATTTTATATTATAAATATAAATAAATATAAATAATTTTCCATTTCAAAAGGTCAAAAATTTGGCCATACACATCATACAACTTCCCCTATTCATCTGGATTAAATGTTTTTTTTTTTTAAATTTTCTTTCAATGTTTATTTATTTTGAGAGAGCGAGAGAGAGCATGAGCGGGGCAGAGGCAGGAGAGAGGGAATCCCAAGCAGGCTCCACACTGTCAGCACAGAGCCCCACGCGGGGCTCCATCTCATGTGCCCAAACTGTGAGACCATGATCTGAGCTGAAATCAAGTGTCAGACACTCAACCAACTAAGCCACCCAGGTGCCCCCCTGGATGCAATGAGTTTTGAGTGCATGACAGGGAAAAGAACATTTCAGACAAGTATACTTTTCAGGGTCTACACCTGAAAAGGCTGGGGTCAAGTCCTGCAATAGTCCTAATAACCATAATACCATCACAGGTGTACATATGATTTCAGTGCTGGGTAACAGCCAGGTTCCAGATGAGGACCAAGGAGGTGGTTCTCAGAATTTGCCTAGAAATTTCCAAGAAAAACTCATTTCCTGACCATCACCACATTGCACATTATAGAATCTTTTATAATTTTTTTTTTATCAAAGCTATTCTTCCTACCTTATAATAAATTGCTTCCTTGAGGGGTACCTGGGTGACTCAGTCGGTTAAGTGTCTCACCTCAGCTCAGGTCATGATCTCAGTTAGAGCCCCTCATCCGGCTCTGTGCTGACAGATTGTGTGTCTCCCTCTCTCTCTCTGCCCCTCCCGCAGCTCACACACTCCCTGTCTCTCTCTCTCTCTCTCTCTCTGAAAGGTAAATAAATATTAAAAATAATAATAAAAATAAATAAATAAATTGCTTCCTTGAAAGTAGGAGACTCTAATTTATCTTTGGGCCTGGCACATAACAAGCACTCAAGAAAAGTTTTGTTAATTGACAGGTAAGTAGCAAGTAAATTCGATAGTTACAGGCTTCAATCTTACGAAAGCCCTATGTAAATAGCCATTTCCACTACCACCAAAAATCATCCTCTATTAAACATCCAATTATTTAAATTACCCTTACAACAATTTCTTTACATACATATTTCTTCTTAATTTTGGATTTCAGACACTTTCTTTACTTGGGCACTATGAGAGAGGGCTGGAAAGTTACTCGCAGTAAGGGACTTCAGCAAAGACACAAAAAAGGACGTGGTAGGAGGGTTCTGAAAGAAAACTGCACTCCACTGGCAGCACAAAGTTCGCATTCCTTGGATAAGACCATGAACATGGCTGCTGCTTCTCATCTGGCCATTTGCACATTGTAGGCCTGAAATGATGGGTAATTAGATGTACTAACATGGGTGTTCGTTAGGTTTTCCTAAGCATACTTTCATGTGCAGTCTTGCACATTGGTGAAATGCCACAGAAATGGTAGAATAATATAAAAGGAATGTGTGAGCACTGTTAACTTCTAAATGCTAGGTTAATGGGGGAGAAAAAAAAGCTGAGGAATGAAAGTACTTTGTCCAAAGTGTCAACATATTTACTTTTAAAGAATATTACAGAAAGTTTTTAAAAAAGAAAAATGGGGAGATGGAGAAAGTAAACTGCCTTAGACAAATGTTAAGTCCTAAGAAGGAGCTATATAAAGAGAAATTAAATATTTATAGAGAATAAAAAGTAAAGGATGATAAAAGACGATATTTGAGAAAATTAAGGAATATAAAAGCAACACAGACTACAGAAAACAAAAGCCCTGTTGATGTATTAGGAAGACGAATTTTACATCACGTATTTTTTTACTAGAATAACAAAACAGCCTGCTAATGAAATGCTTTATAAGAATTAAGTAATTATTGAAGTTCATCTAAGAATGTCTAACTAATGTCTGTAACAACTTAATTAGGATAAGAGAAGTGACAGAGCTGAAAAAATTTGGCAATATAAACAGCAGTGTCTAATAAGCAGTTTGATACTATAGGTTACAATTACCCAATATAAATCAACTGAGAAAGTCACTTGTTCAATATTTGAGCCTCAGCTTCCTGTATAACAATGCCCACTGTGATTACTTCTAAAAAGATTTCTGAATGTGGACAGTAGACAAAAACAAACTTAGAAAATCTGAAGGCATCATAAAAATATAAGATGATGGCCCCAGAATTAAAAACAATTAATAAACTATTCTCTCTAATAAAGTAGAACACATAAAAGTTAAAAGCTATTTTCAAAAAGGCTTTCCTTTCCTCAGTTTCCTCAAAGGATCATTAATTAACTTAAATGCAAGACCTCAAGAGGAAAAAAAAGGAAGAAGGGTACAAAGTAGGGGACTTGCAACACTTCCTGACAAGAGTGGGGAGCTGGGGAAGACACTTGGGGTT